GTGGAAGTAAAAGCATAGTCTGAAGGCCAGAAAAATCTACATTTAAAACTCAGTTTTTCCATGAATAGCTATGACTCTGGGTAAGTTAACTTTCCTAAATTTCATTTATTCATAGGTGTCCAGTATGAGCCACGTAGATGCAGAGTGTCAGGTGTTGAGCAGGGATAATTATGATAGTCTTTAGCCTCTAGGAGTATAATGTGGAAGAGAGAACTATGAGAAGCTCTTCAAAGAGCTGAAGCAGGGCACAGTGGTACATGCCTGAAATCCCAGCATTCTGGTGGACTGAGGCAGGAGAATACAACCTGGACAACTTACCAGATCAGCAAGATCCTGTCTCAAGAAATGATAAAAGGTTGGGTGTGGTGGCATATGCCTGTAATCCCACCAGCTGGGAGAAGGAAGCTAGAGGATCTCGAGTTGGAGGTCAACTTGTGATACATTATGAGTTCAAGACCAGACTGAACTGCATAGTGAAATACTGTCTCAAAAAGACACCCTTCCAAAAACAAGGGGGGAGGGGACCTAAGGAAATCATGCATGGCAGTGCATGCTTATAATCCTAACACTTAAAGAGGCGGGGACAGGAAGATTACTTTGAGTTCCAGGCCAACCTGGGCTATAGAGAATTCAAGACCTGCCCGAAATGTGTATGAAGTGAGATCCTGTTTCAAAACACCAATGAAGAGATGGGTGTAGCATGAATATGCAGCATGTGTGGGTCACTATGTTAAAGATATCTGTATATTATCTGAGTACTATGAAGTAGGACTAACATATCTGTTTCATAAATGTGGACTGAAACTTTAATGTTTTAATCTGCTGAGCCAGTACATGATAAATTTACTCTTTGAAACAGGACTCTCAAAGGTCAAGAAGATCTTTATCTCCCCTCCTGCTTAAAGCAGCTTTTTTCAGGTGCAATAACAGATCTTAATGAAAAATCCCGAGAAAGCGAGACTTGGTGGCTCATGCCTGTAATCTCATCATTCAGCAGGCTGAGGCAGGAAGATTGTTGCAGGTTCAAGACCAGCCTGGGCCACAAAGTGAGCTCAAGACCAGCCTAAACTGCACAGTTAAGACTGTCTCAAATAAATAACCCCAGAAAATTAAAGCCCCTTAAACTTATGAAGTAAAACCTTCATAATTAATGACTAAATTTCTCTTTCAGCCTTCTCTTTAATATGTCAAAATAATTCTAGACCCTGAGCGTTCCTAAACCTTTAATCATTTATGGTGCTCTCTGCAGTACCTACCCATTAGAACAATTTAAAAAAAACATTAACCCTGTGCCAATTATTTTCAAAAGCCCAGAGATACTAATCAAGTGATCCTAATAGTCTTAAACACTGTTCTCAAACCAAAAAAGATAAATGGAGATTGGGAAACTTGTATTCTAAAGTGCCACCATCCAGATAAAATTACCCTGTGAATTAAGAGTAATTTCAATCAGATCCTATAAAATTGAACATTTTTCTCAAGACTAGAATTAGAGTAACTATAAGACAGTTCAAGGACCAAAATTCTGAAACATAAAATGGTTTTCCACACAGCAAATTCAACAGCAAAAGGCAGGCAGTAGGGGCAAGGGAGAATAGTGAACAGTTGAGAAAAGCGGTAAATAAAACTATAATACAGTTAAACTATTCATCTCATATCCATTTTACCTTAATATACGACTGTAATTACTCTCAAACATCATGTGCTGATTAAATAAAGCTTTTTCTTTTTTTTTTTTTTTTTCTTATTATATTTGGTTATTACAAGGCCTCACTACACAGCTCAGATTTGTGGTGATTCTCCTGCTTTCAGCCTCCCCACTGCTAGGATTACAGGCCCAGGCTAAACCACTTCTCTGGGACTCTGTGGCCCACTCAGCCTTCCCTGGGGGTGGGCCTGGTACTGCATTTGGTGCTGGAATTGAACCTCAGTCCCAGAGCTTGCCTAACCTTGCCTAAGCAGGAGCTTTAATCTGCTGAGCCCCCAAGGTTTTATGTCTTACTACATGGCATTCTGAGTCTAAGTTAACACATTATAAAAAGAAATTTCAGGGGCTGGTGAGATGGCTCAGTGGTCTAAAGCACCAACTCAGAACAAGCTTAGCAAAGCACAGGGAACCACGGTTCAATCCCCAGCACCACATGCCAGCCAGCCCCACCCCCTGGTGGGCTGAGCTGGCCACACACACACACACACACACACACAAATAAATAAAAAAAAAAATTAAAAAAAGAAATTTCAATAGCATCTCATAAACATTAAAAACTCAATTATGTTATCAGGCACCTGCATTTATGACTGGTAAGTCATACAACAGTTTTACACACAACAAACTGGTCTGTGTAAAAATGCAAAAGACCCTAGCTTCCTAATGCATATGTGTAATTCCAACTACTGAAGAGGCTGAGAGAGCTCTCGCTCCTTTTTTTTTAGGGAAGGGCCTACAAGGTCTTCAGGGTCTCACTAATAGATCGGACTCACCTGTTTACAGCCTCCCAAGAACTGAGATTACAGGTGTGCACCACCATGCCCAGTCTCAACTGCCTCTCAGTGTGCCCTGGGGGGTGGGGGTGGAGGGTGGGGGTTTGGCATAGCAGGCCTGGGGAAGCTCTTGCTCTTAACTAACCATTCTTATGGATTGTTTTCTATACCATTCAAACTGTGAGATCACAAACAATTTATGTTTAAATGACATATTAGTAAAGCATCACAGGTTATTTTTAAAAAGAAAAATAGCCAGGCATGGTGGCACATACATTCCTATAATCCTAGCACTCAGGAGGCTGAGGCAGGAGGACTGTTCGAAGTTCAAGTCCAGCCTGGGCTATAAAGTGAGCTCAAGGCCAGCCTGAGCTGCACTGACCCTTGTCTCAAAAGACAAAAATAAGTCACCATAGGAGAATCCATTTGGTACTGCACCCAGCAGGATAAACACAGTTATTAAATTGAGGAAGTGTAGGGAGGAGATTCCAATTCAATTATGTGACAGGAAATACTAATGTAGCTTTGCAAGTTTAAAAACAGGCACACTAAGTTTTGTTTTACTACAAAGAAAAAAAGGAATAATGTGAATTAGGGGCAAAAGAGGAAGTTCTCAGTGAACCATCTGCCATATAAAAAATAAATTCAAAATCATTTCAAAAGTTAAAGTCATTAAAAACAAATGCTCACTTTTCCACTACACTCATCTGAAAACACACTTTCCTAGGTGCAAAGGGTCCTGAATCTTGTACTTTCCTTACTTTTATCAAGTTTATGGCTCAAATTTTACACATCCAGAGATAGGCTGATTTATAATACTAAAGTATTACTTTGGTCTTTTAAATGAAGTTGGACTTTTTCTTTCATCAACACTCCTGTAAGAATCATTTTTAAGATGGGTTTAGTGGGGCCGGTCTGTAATCCTAGCACTGGGGAGGCGAGGCAGGAGAATCACTGAGTTGAGGCCAGTCTACAGGGTGAGTTCAAGGCCAGGCTGACCCACATGGTGAGACTTTGTCTCAAAAAAATAAGTTTCACAACACTGTGAATGACATGTATTTACAAACAAAGATAGGATGGTAAATTTTATGTTGTGTCTTTTATCACTGATGTGAACTACATAAATTAATAAGAATTACTGCTCTCCGCTGGGTGTAGTAACCTACACGTATGATCCCAGCACTGGGAAGGCTGAGACAGGAGGATCACTGCAAGTTCCCAATCAACCTGACCTACACAGTGAGTTCAAGGCCTGCCTGAGCTTCAATAGTGACTTCTATGAAAGAAAGAATGAACTGAACTTAGATGTAAACAGTAATATGTACATTTCATGGCCCTAAAGCAAAAATCATCTTAGGCTTAATTTTAACAAATTTGTCTGTGACATACTTCCAGGCTGGCCAGATAGCTCAGCAGTCTAAAGTGCCTTCTTACGCAGGCACAGGGAGTGGGCCCTGCTCTTGGGGCATGCTAAAACTGGGTGTGGTGGCACATACCTGTAATCCCTGTGCTTGGGAGGCTGAAAACAGGTGGATCACTTCAAATGGGGCTGGGGAGACAGCTCAGTAATAAGCGCTTGCCTGGCAAGCACAAAGTCCAGAGTTCAATCCCCAGTACCGCAAAAAATAAGGATCACTTTTAGCGCGTTCTGTGTAGTGAGACCCTGTACTAAATACATTAAAAAAAAAAAAAAAAGCAACAACTTCCATATATGAGCCAGGTCTATAAGCCTGAATTATTGATTGAAAGGGAGGTGGCAGTCTCAATTAGCATCTTTCAAAGAAAGAATTATCTATTGTCAACAAATATGAGTTATAAAATTGTTTCAACTTCAGCTGATTCCTTCATTCAATGAAATGCAAACGCCAAAATTAAAAAACAAGATCCTCACAAGTACACTATTTTCTCAAAGCAATTATAGTTTTGATGAGGTAGGTAACAGTCCCCATACCTAAGACCTTTCGCTGGAGGACTTCTATGAACGCTGAAGTCAACCATTTCCACTGTTCATACCTGGCCCACCCCAATCCAAAATGTGTTGGGGCTTTTGTTAACTCTCGTTAAGTTCTACTAGGAAGAGGGTGCGAGGGTGTGACCTACCCTCGCTTAGTTAGCTCCACAGCTTGGAAAGGCACGGAGCAAGCAGCGTGGCTAGGCGGCCTCTGCGAGGTCTCCAGGACAAGGCAAGGCTTCAACTTCACACTTACACTCCAGGCGGCGAAGGGCCGCGTTCTCGAAAGATCTACTCCAACTCAAATGTCACTCCCAGATCAGCTGCTCAAGGGGCCAGCGGCGCTCTACCCACGCCCTCCTCCACGAGCACCTCCTCCCAGAGCCGCGGGCTCGCACGGCAGCCCCCACGGAAGCCCTCCCGAGAGGCGCCCCAGCTGCCAACTGGGCCGCCCACTGCAGGGTCCCAACCCGGCCAGATCGGCCGCGGTCACCGAGGGAGCCGCGCCAGGGTCAGTCCGGGGCGACAGAGCCGGCTACCGGTCTGAGGGAGCGGAACACGGCCTCACCTTGACCCTGATCTCGTAGGTGGTGAAGCGGCCCCGGCCGACCCCCACCGTCTGCGGGTTGCTCACATCGATCTCCAGGAAGTTGCTGGGCGGCCCGTAGGCGTCATTCAGGTTCTGCGGCTTAGTGATGAGTCTCCGGGTGTCCGCCACGGTCTCCGCCATTTCGCTGTGGCCGCCGCCGCGGGCTCCCTCCGCCCCCTCGCGTTGCACAGACGCCGCAGCCGCCACCCGCCGCGGGGACACGGGGCTCGCGCGCAGCGGTCGTGAGGCGGACGAGCACGTAGGGCGGGCGTTCACCCAGCGCGAAGCTCCTCCCCTCGCTCACGGGCTTCCGCCTCTGTGCCTGGGGGCGAACAGCTGACTCGCCAGAACGCCTTGCCCGGGCCGGGAGGCCCGGCTGAGACCCGGGAGGAGCGAGGCGGGGTGGGGGCCGGGGACCACGGGCGTCACGGGACTTGTGGTCAAGGAGATTCCAGCAGGACTACAGTGCCCACAGTGCACCGGGCGAGTGCGTCACGCCGGAGCGCAGCCGAGGTACCGAAGGGCTAGACGGCCGGGGGCGGGCGCTTCCGGTCTTTAGGTGGCCGATTAGGCTCGGTGCTATGCGGGCGAGGCCCAGAAGCAGTCTTTGTCGTCTTGGCTGCTTCGAGGGCCAGAGTCGTGTTGTGAAACGGAGGCGGTTTGCCAAGTGAAAACAAAACTTGACCGACTCTGCCCAGGCTGTCCGCAGTCTCAGTGTAAACCCCTGAAATACCTCTCTAGGTAGAAAGAGTCAAGTGGTGATTTTGACTCCAGCCTGTTTCGTGTGTGTTGAGCAATTGAAGGAGGTGAAATAAGGAAATAGAATCAGTACGACAGTCACACGCCTGTGATTCCAGCACTTGGGAGCCTGAGGCGGGCGAATCCTTGAACTGCTTAGTGAGGTCCTATCAAAGTTGCAGGAACCAAACCTAACATGAAACAACTGTATTTGCCAACAGTAGCTTAAACAAAACAAACCCAGCAAGCTAGTAACACTAAAATCAAGGGCCTTTTAGAGACAAGTCTGCCAGCGAAAACAACCGTTATCTTGGCTGAATGCTGCTTTGAAAATTTGGGTGAGATGCTACTCTTTCAATGTTTCCCATGAAAATTTTTTTTCCCTTCTCTCAAGTGGCAGATATCTCTCTATTACAGTTTAACTGCAACTTAGACGATGAGCCTTTATTTTTTTAAAATGTTAATTAGAGTCATTTTTGTCTCTAAGTGCTCAAAATCAAAGCATTTTTTTGTTTTGTTTTGAGACAAGTGCCCCTATGCCTGCCAGTCTGGCCTTGAACTTCACTGTGTAGGCCAAGTTGGCCTAGAACTCTCAGGAGAGGAAATGTCCTGGATCTGATAGGTGGTGAAGCAGCCCCGGCTAACCCACACCCTCACTGTAGGCCTTTTGGTTTCCCACTTTGTGATCATCCACTGGACTATTGCTGGGATGACTGGCGTGTGATCAGGGTGGACTTTCAGATGCAAAATTTGAATATTGATAGGATCAATTACTATCTCTGGATAGTTCTCCAAGATGTGGTGTTTCACAAAGAGTTTTGCATTTTTAAAATGCCAAGTTTCAGTAAACCCATTCACTTTTTTTTTTAACCCATTCACTTTTGATCTGATCTATTCCTTAAGCTTTGGAATTTATGAGAAGACCCAAAAGATCAATAGCAATCTTTAAGATTTTTGGAAGCTGGCAGGCTAAGTCATGAGGATCACAAGAATGAACCCAACCAGGGCAATTTAAATGAGTTAGCAAAACTTTATCTCAAAAAAGTATAGTGGCCCATGCCTGTAATTCCAGCCCTTGGGAGGCTGAGGCAGGAGGGTCACCATGAGTTGGAGGCCAGCCTGGGCTACAGAGTGAGTTCACGGCCAGCTTAAAATACATAATTAGACCCTGTCTCAAAAAACCTAAGTAAATAATAAATGAAAATGGCCTAAGTAGGCGCCGGGGAGATGGCTCAGTGGCATAAGCGCTTCCCTGGCAAGCGCAGGGCCTGAGTTCAATCCCCGGTTCCACCAAAAAGAAAAAAAAAAAAAGAAAAAAAAAAGAAAATGGCCTAAGTGATGTAGCTCAGTACAAAGGGCCAGGCTTCAGTCCCCAGTACTACATTTTAAAAATTACTTAAACATCATGTAGATTATTTCCCAGAAAACTCACCATTCTTTTCTTCAGTCAATATTTATTGAGGATCTACTGGTGTTTGCACTCCAGGCACTGGAGCTAAAACAGAAAGGCAACTTATAGCCTAATTTATAACATCTTGGGGAGTCAAATAAATTAGCACTATTCCTGCCAATACGATTGGTGTCATGAATAGTGTAATAGGGACTGAGACGAGCTCCTTGGACAGTGTCAGAGGAATCCTCTCTTGAGTACTTCTGGTTTTCAAACAGGAGGGTTGAGAACAGAGTGAATGTGCCCAGATTAGAGAAATTGGGAACTGGACTGGATGATTACTGCAGTGAAGTGGAGAAATGCACATAAAAGACCCCTTGAAGTGGCACAAATGAGAGCTAACAGACCAGGAACCACTGCATTGTGCTGTCATCCATGACACCTCAACAGCAGAGCATAGCAGTGTAATCTTAGAGACAGTTCATGTCTGGCTCAGGCAGCAGCAGAGGTCTGCGATGGCAAAATAGCCACAGAAGGACAGCAAGACATCTGTAGGATAGTTGTACAGCTGAGACTTATTCCTGGTAGGCAAGGAAACGAAGATGACCAGCATAATTAGTATGCTCAAACTTAAGAAATCGAGGGTTTGCAACGTCTGTGGTCCAGAGGACTCTATCCCCAGCAGCACAAAACAAAATTTAAAAACTTAGTATCCAAATACATGCCCATAAAGACAAATGTGTGAAATAATTGTTTTTGGTCCATCACATCAGCAAAAATTGAAATAAGTCAGAAATGTAGTGGGCTAACAAGATAGCTCAGTGGACTAAAACGCCTGCTCAGGGCAAGTGCAGAGACCAAGGTTTGATCCCCGGCACCACATGCCATGCCAGCCCCATGCCCAGGGCAAGCTGAGCTAACCAGAGTCCCAGGGTGGTGGCACAGGCCTGTAATTCCAGCGCTGGGCAGGTTGAAAGCAGGAGGATCACTATGAATCTGAGCTGTGTTATGAGACCCTGTAACAACCAAATACATTTAAAAAAAAAATGTGTTGGGGAGGATGTGAGACAAACAGACACACTATAACAAGTCAGAATTATTCCACATTTTTGGAAATATAATGTAGTTTTTCTGAATATTTAAGATATTTACTGGGCATGATGGCATACATTTGCATGCCAGGAGGCTGAGGTAGGAGAATCACTGAGTTCAGGGCCAGCCTGGAATACATACTGTCACAAAAAAGAAAAAAAATGAAGATATTTAGGACAAAAATTGGAAATTTAAAAATTTAGAAAAATAAATGAAGTATTTAGGGTACTTTGATCCTCAAATCCAACTTTGCTGCAGGAGGGCAGAAGGCTATGATACATAAGGATAGAAATGCAAAACTGGAAACATTAACTCTATTGGTAGCTGGGTGTGGTGAGACATGCCTGTAATCCTAGCACTGGGAGGCTGAGGGAGGAGGATCCTTGGGTGTTCAAGACCAGCCTGGACTACAAAGGGAGCTCAAGGCCAGTCTAAAACTGCATAGTGAGACCTTGTCTCAAAAAGACAACAAAACAAAAAACTGAGATCCCATTTGAGTAAACAAATGAAACCGTGTGTGTGTGTGTGTGTGTGTGTGTGTGTGTGTGTGTAATGTGATTGAAACACATGAGCATTTAAATTTTAAAAATTTATAATAAAAGACATATTTCTATTAATCTCTCTAAAATATTCCCCATAGGTTTAAACACAGTTACCTCATTGTTTTTGAACTTTCGGAAGCCATTGTGGAAGTTATTCTTGAGGGTCTTTACAAGATATGATACAAAATATGGTGTATGGGCTGGGGGGATAGCCAGCAGTTTAAGCGCCTCCCTGGCAAATACAAGGTCCTGAGTTTGATCCCTGATGCTGCAAGCCATGCTGGCCACCAAAACTGGGCATGGTGGCATACTCCTGTAATCCCAGACGGGGTAGGCTGAGACAGGATGATCATTACAGACAAGTCCAAACTGTGTAGTGAGACCCTGTATCCAAAAAAACAAAAACAAAGACAAAAAACAACAGTGTATGTTGCTGCTGTGTGCCATCCAATGGAAAGGTAGGCTCATGATAAAAATACTAATTGCCCTCATCCACCTTATTCATGGGATCTGACTTCGTCAGACTTCTGGCTCTTCCCCAAAGTCAAAAAGGCCATGCAAAGTAAATGTTTTGGATTAGGACGTCAAGCAAGCCACAACAGTACAACTAATGACATTTAAAAAGTACTTCCAGAACTGCTTCAGAAAGTGGCAAGGATGATGGAATAAGTATCTTCAAAATGAGGGCAAAAACCTTGAAGGGTACAATGGTAATATGTCTGTAGTAAGTTTTTCAAAAATTTAAACATTCATATTTTCAGTCACATTTTGTATATACACATTTATATTTGTACTATTTTTATTGGGGGGATATAGTACTGGGGATTGAATGCAGGGTCTTATAAATCATTCTTCCAAAACAAATAATTCTGTTTTATCTTTTGTGATTTAATGTCTTTTATATATTAATAAACCAGGCAATGATAAGAACCACTCTCTTGCTTTTTTTGTTACTTTTCATCAGTCATCCCTCTGTAACTTTACCTTTCCTTACTCTTTGTGGTCACCAAGAAGCTGTGTCTTTCAGCTGTACAACTGCAGGAAGTATAATGAACTTACAGACCCAGCTGCTCTGCTTTGAAATACTCTACCGTGTTAGCTCCCAACCACAGTGCCCAGAGCTTGCCCTCAGCCGATGGCTCAACACGTTAGGGATTCTAACCTGGGTCCATTTCTCAAAAAGGAGGGATTCCTCCGACAGATGCCACTGGATCCAAAGTCTGGGAGAGTGAAGGGCAACAGTGGCAGTGAGTATTCTGTCATTGGTAGTTGACATCACTGGTGTTAGCTTCTGAGAAAATACATAGGCATAATATATGCTGAGAAATAAAATAGGCACATGGGCTGGCGAGATAGCTCAGGGGACTAAGTGCCTGCTTTGGCAAGCTCAGGGACCAGGGTTCGATCTGATCCACAGTCCCGCATGCCACACTGGCCCTACCCCCACGGCACACTGAGCTGGCCAGGGTGGTGGCACTTGCCTGGAATCCCAGCGCTGGGGGTGCTGAAAACAGAAGGATCACTACAAGTCCAAGCTACATAGTGAGACCTTGTAGCAAATACATAAATGAAAAAAAAAAATGGGCATAGAATTCCTGTTGATAAAAGAGAATTCCTGACATTATTCTGTGAGTTGCTTCA